GCTCTGCAGCCCAATAAAACCTCCCCAGGCGGTGGAAACGGTCCCTGACCGTGCTACCCAACAGGTGGACCCTAGCCACATGTTTTTGCTGAGCGTTTGAAATATGGCGAGTGCTACCAAGGAACCGAGTTTTTAATCGTATTTCACTTGAATTAATTTAAATAGGCAAGTGCAGCTAGTAGCTACAGTAAGTATGTGATGATACTCCAGGTGCGGTCGAGGATATTACTGAGTGCCTATATAACTATACATAATGTATAAACATGATAGCTGTATGTAATAAATAATGTATTCATTGATCTATGTAATTTATTAAATTGCATACGGTACCTGGACAACATAGCAAGATCCATCTCTAAAAAAATTTAAAAATTAGCCAGGTGTGGTGGCATGCCTGGAGGCTGAGGCAGAAGGATTGCTAGAGCCCAGGATCTCAAGACTGCAGTGAGCTATGATTGTGCTTCTGGGCGACCTACCTAGTGGAATCCCAACTATTGGGGGGAAAAATAATACATAAATTAAAATGTGATTTTGCATTATGGGGAACTTCTTAAAGATTGTGGTCACTTTATGAAGCATATATATAGTTTCTCAATTGTGCTTCCAAAACAAGCTCAACATTAAATATTTTAAAATTAAAACATTTAGGAGAAAAGGAATTCAACTTCTTTTCCTATTACATTATAAATGGGAAATTTATAATTTCCCAGCCTATTTTGTCCTCCCAAAGTGCTGGGATTATAGATGTGAGCCACGGCGCTTGGCCAGGGAGCTTACATTCTAATGGGGTATGTGGTGTTATGATGATCATATTGTCTTACTTTCCCTTATTTATCTGAATGTGAAGAGTCATGTTGGTGGACTTATTCTACAGTCCTCAATGTCAACTGTGACTCACCCTTGCCTCCTATTTGCTTAGAGTGTGGTGCGGGGAGAGATGATAAACATCCTATTAAGCTACACCATTTGTTCTATAGTTTTATATTATTACAGGTCACGTGATGCCTTCCCACAGCATTGTGAGAACACCTAGATCCATGTGCTTCCTTCAAAAGAACTAAGGGAGAAAGGAAGCTAGGCAATTTTGCAAGCTTAAAATTTCAGTGAACGAACTTTGGGGTTAACTATATATGGATTAGGAAAAATATAAAGCCATACATTTGAGTAGTGAACATGATACTAGAAAACCAAGGCCCTTGTCCTGTCTCTCCTACATTTGTGGAGTATAAGCTACCTTAAGTCCTGCCCTCTGATTTATATGAATTATTTCTATAAAGTTTTATATAAGGTATTAGCTGTGTTATCTGAGCAAGCCTCAATGACACAGCCGTAAATTAGGGAAGATGGGGCTGTTAATAACTGTCTTGCCTACCTCACAAGGTTAGATTAAATGAGATAATCTGTGTGAAACCTTGTATGAATATGTATCCAGGCTTTCAATGAGTATTAAGTTTTTGCCTCCTGAGTTCCAGGAAGCACAGTATAGCACAAAGGATTAGAAAATAGAGTTTACAGGCAACTGCCTGGGACAGGGCAAGTTCCTAAGCTCTGTGCTTCTGTTGACTGAAGGTGAATCAGTGACTATTTGTCAAGGGTCTGTGTCAGCTCTGGCACATAGCAAGCAGTATATGAGTGTTTGTTCAATAAAATAGCCAGATGGGCAAGGCCTTTGACCCTTGCTTACGTTCTTTTTTTGAATCTGGGTCTCACTCTGTTGCCCAGGCTCCAGTGCAGTGGCACAATCACAACTCACTTCAGCCTCCACCTCCTGGGCTTAGGCAATCCTTTCACCTCAGCATCCCCAGGAGCTGAGACTACAGGTGTGCGCTGCCACGCCCAGCTAATTTTTTAAATTTTTTGGAGAGATGAGGTTTCAATATGTTGCCCAGACTGGTCTCAAACTCTTGGACTCAAGCATTCTGCCCATCCTAGCCTCCCAAAGTGCCGGGATTATGGGCGTGAACCACTGTGCCTGGCCAGGGAGCTTTCATGGAGTATACGGTATGATGATGATTGTGACACATGCTGTCTAACTTTTCCTTATTTTTAAGAAATGGAAGAACTAGCAGAACATGGCATATTTCTCCCTCCTAATATGCAAGGGCTAACTGATGACCAGATTGAAGAACTGAAATTAAAGGATGAATGGGGTGAAAAATGTATACCCAGCGGGGGCGCAGTGTTTAAAAAGGATGATATTGGACGAAGGAATGGGCAAGGTGAGCACGCCTCTCTCACTTGTGCTTGTGTGTGTGCATTCTGAATGCACCAATCAGTACAAAAGCCATCTTTAAATTTAAAAATTGACCTCTGTGTTTCTATACAAACTTAGGAAATACAGTGCTGTATAGCTCCTGCTGGTAAGTGAAGAGAGGAAGCATCTGCTTACTGTTACTAGATAGCAGCTCACTTCAAGTATATTAGACAAACCATTCCTGTAGGCCAGAAATGGTTGAGTGTTGGCGATTTCCTATGGTTTGGTGATTTCCTATGGTTTTTGGCAGAACTCATTGAAACTGCCCTGAAGGTTGTGCTTTGTCACCATTTGCTCCTGTGAAAGCGGGATAGACGTGTCAGCACAGGTCTCTACTTGCTCAAGGACAGAGTACTTTGGTATGTGGTAGGACACTGAAGAAAATCTCCTTTCGGTATTTGCTTGATCATGTGGAACTAGAAGGAAAAAAGGAGAATAATCTGTTTTGATAGCTTATCCTCTTTAACCTGCATTAAAAGCTCCATTTCAAATACTAAAATGCTTTTAGGAGCGGAAGAAATATAAAACAGTATCCCTGCAAGGCCATTCCAGGCTCAAAAATACACTTTTTAAATATCAGGGGTGATAGGAATTCTTAGTATTATTTTCTTTGAATTTTAACATGGTAAAAATTGTTGTCTTTTACATCTTTCATACCTAAACTCATTCTCAATCTGGAGAGTCTGCTTTTCAGATGGAATTACATCAGTGAAAAAAATAATTGTGATGTACAATAACCAGTTAACAGTTCATTATTCATCTTTAAACTGCTATATTCTTAAGTTAATTCTTTCTATTCTAATACAATTTTGTATTTCTCATATTTTCAGTGTCTAATTAATACTGTTATTTATTAAGAATATGTGGTTTGAATTTGCCTGTCTTCCCTAGGTTTGGGCATTCCTTTTTCATTGTTTTTGCTTCTAAACTTTCAAGTTATGATTTCTTTTTTCCTTGTCTAATGATCCGCAAATTCAGCCCGTTGTCTAATAAACGGGCCAAATTCAGCCCGTTGCCTATTTTTGCAAATAAAGTTTTATTGGGATGCAGCCACCCCATGCTTGCAAGTACTGTCTGTGGGTGCTTTTATGCTACTACGGCAGAGTCATGTTCCGGCACCCAAGACTGCAGCCTGCAAAGCCTAAGATAGTTTTTCCAGCCTCTCACAGAAAAAGGTGGCCAGCCCCATCTAGTCGTGACACAGGTTCCCATTCTTGGTAGCCTCTGCCAGTTTGTGTAAACCACACTCTGGGTCTCCGCCATTGTGATGAGATCCTTACCTCACCTCTGCGGCCAGGTTCTGCTCTCCCCAGAGTCCACACTTGCACACTCCCTCATCCACTTACTTCCTAACTCAGAGGAACTGAGACACTCAAGAAGAGTTTACAGAGACTTACACCTGCTTGACAGCTGTCTCTCCCCCTCTCCTTTTTATTTTTATAGCTCCAAATGAAAAAATGAAGCAAGTGTTAAAGAAGACGATAGAAGAAGCCAGAGCAATCATATCTAAGGTCAGCTTTTAACATCATGCCCTCAAGCTTGCTTTTGAGTTACAAACTCCAATTCTGGCTTCCAGAGTTAACTCTCATCCAGTCTCTTTTTTTTCTTTAAGCCTTCCAGAGGCAAAGTAAGCAAGCGTGCTAGGGCTGGGCCCTCACTGTTCCTTTTTATAATTGCGACGGTTGTCCAGAATCCCCCCAGTTCCTACGGGCACACAAAAATTTTGTTGGCTTATGTAAATATTGATTTGATTTCTTGCATCTTTTGAAAGAGCTTAAGAAGCTCAGTAGGGGAGATCTGACTCCTCTTACTTCAACACCAGCTGCAAGTAAGGTCCCAAGGCTACCCCTGCTTCTGTTCAACTAACAGGCCTCACTGAAATCGCTCCACTTATGATGATTACAGTTTTCTTGTAAAGGATGATATATCAAGAACAGCCACATGGGAGAGATGTATGGGGGGGTAGGACAGTGCTTCTAAGCCCTCCTCTTGTGGAGCCTGATTGTGTCACCAGCACGTCAGTGTGTCCAACCAGGCAGCTCCACTGAGCCTCGATGTCCAGAATTTTTCTTTTTTTGAGTTGGAGTCTCGCTCTGTCACCCAGGCTGGAGTGCAGTGGCATGTTCACAGCCACCACAGCCTCAACCTGCTGGGCTCAGGCGATCCTTCTGCCTCAGTCTTCCAAGAAGCTGGAACTGCAGGCGCGAGCCACCATGCCCGGCTAATTTTTGGATTTATTGTAGAGATGAGGTCTCGCCAAGTTGCCCAGGCTGTTCTCAAACCCCTGGGCTCAGGCATTCCTCTCACCTCAACCTCTCAAAGTGCTGGCATTACAGGCTTGAGCCACTGCGCCTGGCCAATGTCCAGAATTTTTATTGAGGTTTTTGTTACGTAGGCATGAGTGATAAAATCACGGGCCACATGATTGAACTCGATCTCTAGTCCCTCTCTCCTCCCCTGAGGGTGTGGGGGGATGAGGCCGAAAGTCCCAATCCTCTGGTCATGCACTTGGTCTTGCTGGCATGGAAGTTCCATGAACTCTTTCAGTGCTGTCTATGGGTTACTACCCATGGGGTACCATGCCAGCACAAACTCAGGTATGATGAAAAGGGGCTCATTATAAATAACAAAAGACACTACCCAGGAAATTCCATGGGACTTTGAAGCTCTGTGCCAGGAATGGAGTGTCCTGGCACAAAGGCCAGATATATTTTTATTATATCACACCCTACTCTGTACTCTTCAGCGCCTGCTTCCTGGTCTCCCTCCAAGATTACTCTCCCAGCATCATCGCTACCTCTCAGAATAGCCCGTTGCTGCCCATGGCTGACAGAGCAGATGCAAACTCCTCCACCTGGCTTTTGTGGCCATCCAAAAGTTCCAACCCTCCCTACCAGCCCTGTCTTCCCTTTCCTGCCCCAGCCAGGGTGCTTCCTGTCTTGAAGCACCAGCTCCCATCGCCACCTTTTCTGTCCAGCTGAGAGTGGTTAAAGAGCTGAAGGCCCACCTGAGACACAGTCTCCCTCTGCAGTTTCCCGACCCTGTTTCCTGTCTGTGCCACTCTCACCTTGGCTTCTTCCTCTTGATTACTCTATACATTGCTGCTCTCCTTGCTCAGGGCTGCTCACCATCTGCTGTGTGATACAGGCTGTGGAGTGCTGGGCTCAGCCCTGAGCTGGCAGGCACTTTGGGAGCAAGCATGGCTTGATTCCTTTTTGTTGCTCTGGCAGTATCTGGCAAGGATCTTGTACAAGAACTCGATCGACATGCGCTGACCTGAACGGCCGCATTGTTGATAACGATGCCTGTCCATGTGCAGAAACAAGTGGAAGCCAGTGTCTGTGTTACCATGGAGATGGTGAAAGATGCCCTGGACCAGCTTCGAGGTGCGGTGATGATCGTCTATCCCATGGGGCTGCCACCGTATGATCCCATCCGCATGGAACTTGAAGATAAAGAAGATTTGTCAGGAACGCAGGTAGGTGGCTCTTGGACTCTCTGAAGGTGAATTCATGGTCCCCCAGAGCCTTTCAGAGTTGACTCGCTTCTTATGGGTGTAGTTTTTTGCTCCCTACGCTGTTTCCGTCTCTGCTGTGCAGTGCTTCAGAGCCACGTTCTGAGCTCAGGAGTGGACCTTGCAAGAGTGGCACTCAGGCTGAAGGGTTTGGCCCACATACAGGGAGGCAGTAGACACAGTCTGTGAGGGCACCCTAGGAGTAACTGGAAACGTTTCCACTTTCTTTGGCTACTGGAGGGCCAGAAACCTAATTTCTTCCTATTTCTACCCAAATGTATTGGTCCCTTTGTGTGGACATTCATGTTCTAGTCTTATCGTCTTATTTTCTTACCCTTATATCCCATTTTCCTTTGTTTTTCTCACTTATTCCTTCCTTATCCTGTTGGTTAGTATGATTTCTCTGAGCCATCTTAAATAGGTAGAGTATGCAGACACAAACAGCCCATCTCACCTCTGTTTAAAGCCCAGCAGGACTCCAGTGTCCCTCCCTGGCAGTGCCTATGAATCCAGGGAGGGGCCTTGTATTGTGGCTGAGGGTGCAGGTGAGGTCGGACATGGCCCGTTTCCTGGAGCAGGACCCTAGTGCGTCAGGGCATGAGTTGCAACTCCACAGGGAAGAACTGAAATTGGCGAGGACTTTGAGTAAGGTGGGAGAGACAGCTTTGCCACTGGGGTGGGACCACACCTGTGCTGGGTCCTGATTGCTTTGGTTCTTACAATTGGCCCCAGGCAGGGCTCAACGTCATTAAAGAGTCAGAGGTACAGCTGTGGTGGGCAGCCAAGGAGCTGAGAAGGACAAAGCAGCTCTCAGACTATGTGGGGAAAAACGAAAAAACCAAAATTATCGTCAAGATTCAGCAAGTAAGTACTTTTGCTTTTAACATGTCAATATTTTTTGTTATTTGCCTTCAAACTGAAAAAAATTTACAGTAAATATGAAAGATCTAAATTGTGCAGATATTTTAATCTTATTGGCTCACATTTAAACTAAAAATCCTCTTCATGCACACCCACAAAATATGGATTGATGGGCAATATCTGGAATTTGTAATTTGTGGGGAGAAGAAATATGCCATGTTAATTTCAACCTTGATGAAAAAAGCAGCAGGTTTTTCCCAACTGCTGATGTTCTGGGATAAGGAGGGCACTGTGTAGAGCTGCCTGCCTGCGAGGCTGCCTTGGTGTCATGTGCTCCTAAATCATTATTTGAAGGTGACAGAGCCCATGGCTCTCAGTGGACCCTTTTCCCATAGATGTGCCGTGGCTTCCTTGGGAATGGCCAGGCCAGGGGTGGCACCGTGCAGCCTTTGTCTCCAGAACTGTAGGAGTCCAGAGTGCTAGCAGTTCCCTTGATGATCACCTTGGATGCTCAGGCATGGGTGACCTGTTTATCATTAGTGGTTGGCAAAGGCATTTGTAAAACATTTGCTGTAACTCCAGAATTGCCACCTTAATCCACAATTTGCTTTTGCCCTAAACTTTTCAGAGGGGACACGGAGCTCCGGCCCGGGAGCCTATCATTAGCAGTGAGGAGCAGAAGCAACTGATGCTGTATTATCACAGAAGACAAGAGGAACTCAAGGTATCAATGATAGGTTTTCCAGAGTTCACGTCCTGGGCATACCCTACATGCCTTATCTGGGGCAGGAGGGGGCAGTGAGTGCTGCAGGATTTCGGGGGAGGGGACTCTCTAGAGCATTTGTCCTCCATGTCCCCCAGCATTAGACTCTGAATGTGCCCTGCTTCTTTGAAGGTGGAGACAGGGGAGGTCGGTCATGGGTTTTCTTCTCTCTTTATGTCCAAACACTTTCCTGAAATGCCTTCCTGAGTAAATCACATTTATTTCCAGAGATTGGAAGAAAATGATGACGACACCTGTTTAAATTCTCCGTGGGCAGATAACACTGCTTTGAAAAGACACTTTCATGGAGTAAAAGACATAAAGTGGAGACCAAGATGAAGCGCACGCTTTCAAAAAACATTGGCTCAGCTTTCTTTTAGGCTAATAGTTACAATATAAAGGACAGCCCCCACCCTTTGTAAAGATGTTGGAATGTCTAGTTTTCTTTAAGTTTGACTTTTTAAACAATGATTATTCAGAGTTTCAGAACTTAATAAATTCATCCTCAAAAGAAAATTTCTTTCTTCAAGTGTTTGTTTCAGGACAACTATTTAGTATCCCAGGGGCTTCCTTTGATAAAATGTAGAACATTTGTCTTCCTGATTGCTGTTTGGCATGCTCGTAACTGTTGTACTGGGGGAGTCTGCTGTGACTTCGACTGGCAGTGACCACTAGAGGGCACCAGCCACCTTCCGTGCCATGTTCCTTTGGCCTCTGTAGTCTAGTGGAAGCTGAACTCCCAACTTGATGAGAGACTTCTGTAATCTCACTGAAGGGGCTCACTGGAGCCAGGCCAGCCTCAAAAGTGAGGTTTGTCTCCTGGGTGATGCCTCCCGGGCCTTGTCTTTTGGAAGTAATGGCTACCCTTGAGATGGAGGCTGGGTAGCCAGACTTGTATGGCCTTGAAACAAATTCTCCTGTAGTGTGTCAGCTTCTTAAGTCTCTTTCATTGGTATAGATCCTGAACACAAATTCCCATCATGGTCCTCCCTGCGGATGGCTGAGTGCGACTCCCAGCTGAGTTTCAGGTGTCAGGCTCAGGCCACCATCATCGGCCCAGTGGCCACCCACAGAACGCCTGGGTCCACCATCGTCCTGACTGGGTGTTGTAGAATCCCTTTACTTTTAAACGCTCAGCTCCTCATCGCCATAAACCATTCAAATAGCCTACAACCCTGACGCATCAGCACCTGAAGGACCTCCCAGATGGCTTGGAAGTTTCCTTACGCTTGACTTTCGGTGTCTAGGGTCTCATTCCCTAGTAAGAGGAAGCCGGTGTGCTCTCCCAGAGGGAAAATGGAAGACGGGGTGTTGCCCTGCCCTGGCCTTCCCGCCTCAGTGCCTGAGCCCCCCACCACCTGCAGAGAGGAGCTGTGGAAGCTGATGAAGGTGGCCCAGGTTAGTGCCCACTGCTGGCAGGCAGCCTTTCCCCAGGCGCAGGATCCCGGGCCTGGTCTCAGAGCAGTGTTTTCTAAGGTGCGCTGTAGCTGTGTGTCATGGTTGTGCCTCACTCTTGGCTGACTTTCAAACTTTGTAAAACCAGATTTGCGTCTATTTACCTGTTTTACTTTGATTATAATTTTAAATGCATCCTGGGTATGGTAGCTCATGCCTGTAATCCCAGCACTTTGGGAGGTCTCAGCAGGAGAATCTCTGGAGGCCATGTAAGAAATAAGAATGGTGATTTATTTTCAAACTAGAGCCTAGCTTATCTTGGATTCTTAAGATGGTGTCTAAATGCTTTGTGCTTCCTTTTCGCAGGCTTTTTACTTTGGTGGGCTACATGTTTAAACTTTTGGCAAAATCCAATCAGAATAGTAATCCTGTAAGCCGATCGGCAAATAGGACATGTAAGTAAGATAATTCTGTAAAACTAATCAACATGTAACATGTAGGCATCGTATGAAAAAGTGTGTAACTCCTGCAAGTACCATCCAAAGGGAAACCAGGAAAGGGACTTACGTTCTAGGACATAAATATCCCCACTTTAATTGCCTCGGTGTGCCTGCTTACCCGTTCTTGCAAGAATGAGATTAAGAGAGCTGCTTCACTCCCCCAATCTCTGAGTCTACGTGTCGTGCTTTAATGACAAAACTGTGGAGGAATGATTCCGTCTCCCACAGGCCAGAAGTTCAAGGCTGCAGTGAGCTATGATTGTGCCATTGCACTCCAAAAAAAGAAAAGCTCTGATTTTATTTGAGAAGCATTGTCTTTGTTAATGTATAGTTTGTGTGTATTAATGCTCAGACTTGCAAAAAAAGTTAATCAAGCCACACGATCTCAGTAGTTCTTTTTTTTATTAATCAGTATTTTTTATTTTGATATTGTGGGGTACAGTTAAGGGTTAGGTATATAAATATGTTTCATTCAGGCACCCTTGTTGATAAGGGGCATCTCCCTGTCCCCAGACAGATATTGACTACCGTTAATCCCACCTCCCTTCCCCCCCCATAGTCTCCCACTACTGTCAATCCTTTTCTTATAGTATTACGATAGATGTTCAAGGTCCACTATATGAGTAAGAACATGTGATACTCAGATCTTTGTTTTCAACCTCACTAATCATCAAGGAGATGCAAATCAAAACCACACTGAGATACCACCTAACTCCAGTCAGAATGGCAATTATCAGTAACTCAAAAAATAACAGTTGCTGGAGAGGGTGTGGTGAAAAGGGAACACTTATACATTGTTGGTGGGAGTGCAACTAGTGCAACCTCTGTGGAAAACAGTGTGGCAATTCCTAAAAGCTCTAAATATCAACATCCCATATGACCCCGCAATCCCCCTACTGGGAATATACCCTGAAGAACACAAATCACTCTATCAAAAAGATACCTGCACATGTGTGTTTATTGCAGCATTGTTCACAATAGTAAGAACCTGGAATCAATCATGCTGTCCATCAAAAGAGGACTGGATCAGTAGTTCTTTTTAAGAGCCGCTGCTTCCATGTAGCTAGGAATTCTTGTTGAGCCAATGGGATAGGAAAGCTCTAGGTAGCCATATAGTTATTCTGCTGTTTCATGTAATCAGCAGAACTTACTAACCAAAGAGTCACTCGCTTTAAAGAACTCACTAGATTGGTGGCATCACACTACTCTCCTCTCTTGTAAAAAGAACAGCCCTCTCTCTCCCTCCTCTGCCTCAGAAGCCCCTGAGCTCGATCTTGTCACAAGCCATCCATGAAGGAGGGGGATAGACGGTCCCTGGAACCCACCCTGTGCTCACTGTGCTCTGTGTGTTAATTCACTTTTCATCCAGCCACTGACTCACCCTGGGCCTCATAGCTAGTGGTGGTTGGGCCAAGGGGTCACACCTAGGACTTTCCAAGAAATTTTATCAGCAAAAGTCGTTTTGCAAGTGCTGGGCTATCGATCAGCTTAAGTATGTGATCGTGGTGTTATTTTCTTTCTTTCTTTCTTTCTTTTTTGAGTTGGAGTCTCACTCTTGCCTAGGTGGAGTGCCATGGCATGCTCACAGCCACCTCAGCCTCGTTCTGCTGGGCTCAGGCAATCCTTCCTCCTCAGCCTTCCAAGTAGCTAGAACTATAGGCATGCGCCACCATGCCCAGCTAAATTTTTTTTTTTTTAATTTATTGTAGAGATGAGGTCTTGCCAAGTTGCCCAGGCTGGTCTTGAACCCATGAACTCAGGCAGTCCTCTCATTTTGGCCTCCCAAAGTACTGGGATTATAGGTGTGAGCCACTGCACCCAGCCTATTTTTCTTTTTAGTCCAGTGCCTTTTGGATCAATATCAAAAGGCAATGGAGTGCCTGCTGTGTGAATGGTGCCCATCTGGATCTGTGGCTTTGTCCTTTGACATAACTTGTCTTCTTACATGGTTATTTCATGGAGATCAGGGATGCTAGTAATAACACTAGACACTACCTAAAACACTTTCAATCAGCAAACTGACAGCATCGGGCTGTATTTCTGTCACAAGATTACATTGTTCTTTGGCAACCGCTCTGTGAAAAATGTGCCATCAAGCCTGAAATGAACGACCACATGCTTAGAGCACAATGGCCTTAGAAGGTCCAAGGGGCTTTAGCTTTAGTACAGTGGGACTAATAGCAGTGCCTGCTGCATCTGTGAGGACCGCAGAGACTTGGCTGCAGGAGCTTCCCCAGTTAAGGGTTCCATTTTTCTCTTGTGGCAGGAAGTTGGAGTCAAGCAGTTCCCATTTGGAACAGTTGAGGAAGGCATTAAGAACCCAGGCTCCCTGCTTCCTGCCCCATTGTTCTTGGCTTGAAGCTTTCTTCTTCGTGGTTGGAAGATGACTTGGGCCCACTGGTGTACCAGGCAGACACAGGACAGAGAAGAAGCAAAAGGCAAGAGGCCATGATCTAGACACGACTTTTGTCTGTTCCCTCTAAGAAGCATTCCTAGAAGCCCCACCCGGCCATGTGCCGTTATAGCACATTGGCCAAAACGGATTGTTTTGTCCATGCTTGCTGTAAAGGAATATGGGGTGGTATTTTAGCTAGGTATTTTCAGTATTTTAGCTAGGTACTCTGCCACCTTGAACAAAATTGGTGTTCGGGGGAAAGGGCGAATAGATATGAGACAATTACTCCCGCCCACCATGCCCACCCTCGGGGCTGTTCCAAGAAGTTGTTGAGTGGAACTTTGAAGCAAGACAAATGAATCGCAGTAGTAATAGCATAAAACCCAGCCTTTCGGCCAATCAATGGGGTCCAAAAATATGAATTATGTAAAATGCAGGATTTTTTTTTTTTTTTTTTTGAGTTGGAGTCATTCTGTTGCCCAGGCTGGAGTGTAGTGACATGACTACAGTTCACCAGAACCTCAACTTGCTGGGCTGAGGTGATCCTTCTGTCCCAGCCCTCCTGAGTAGCAGGAACCACAGATGCATGCCACCACACTCGGGCTACTTTTTCTGATTTAATGTGATGAGGTCTCACCAACCCCTGGACTCAGGCAATCCTCTCATCTTGGCCTCCCAAAGTGCTGAGTTTACAGCAGCATGCCTGGCTCAAGAGGAAATTTATATATATTTTTCTTTTTTTTTTTTTCTGAGTTGAGGTCTCACTCTGTTACCCAAGCTAGAGTGCAGTGGTGCGACCATGCTTCACTCTAGCCTCAACTTCCTGGGCTCAAGTGATCCTCCCACCTCAGTCTCCTGTGTAACTAGGGCTACAGGTTTGCACCACCACACCTGGCTACTTTTTTGTATTTTTTTTGTAGAAACAAGGTCTTGCTGTGTTGCCCAAGCTTGACTCAAACTCCCAGGCCCAAGCTTCCCACTGAAGCCTACCAAAGTGCCGTGATTGTACAGGTGTGAGCTCAAGACTGTGTTATTTTGAGAGAGAGTTTCAATAACTGGAGACCAAGCAAAACCCTAAATTCAAATGTGTAATGAATACAGAGGGACTGAGACTGGACCTCAGGCAGGCCCTGGGGCCCTTGGCTTTGGAGAATGGGACCTCTTACAAGGACCTACTCCTCAGGAAGAGCTTGAACCGGGAGGGAGGGGAAGAGTAATCACAACAG